AATTCTTTAAAAATCCTACAATGTGATTTTCTGGATTTTTTTTTCTCATTTTGTCTCTCATAGTTGAGGTATACCTATGATGAAAATTACAGGCCTCTCTCATCTTTTTAAGTGGGAGAACTTGCACAATTGGTGGCTGACTAAATACTTTTTTGCCCCACTGTACATACATACACATATATAAAAAAAATTTTTTAAACTCCAGCATTAAGATGGATGGCAAGTAAACTGGCTTGAGTTGAAATTATATTTAAAACAAATAACTAGTCTGGCCTCGGCCATTGCAGAAGCATCAGATTCTCATATAAATCCATGAAGATGTAGATGAAGATGTAAATCCTGCTTTTTGTCAGTTTCCTGTCGAGGTGATTGGGAGGACATTGACAGCTGCAGTTATGGAGTCTCAGAACAGTCTGCGTCAGCATCGGGCTTGATTTAGAGCACAGTAGGGGACGCCGCTAATGGGGGGAGATTACAGGCCTCATCTTGGGCCATCATTCCAGTCATTAACCTGAACCTGTGCCTCATTAACCCATCAGCAAATGGATCTTTGAAATGAAATGTCTTTGGTGTCATTACGAGGTCATCTGTTTTGTTGCCTGTCTTTTGATCGCAGTCTGTTAAATATTTGTAAATTAACATTAATCTCAACATTGATGTAAAACGTGTTCAGCGTTATACTCTCCCCTTTTTGTCTATAGGTTATTTAGACACCTAAATAAATAATTTAGGTTATTCACTTATTCTGGGGTAGAAGATCGGAACATCCCATTTCTCTCTATGTTTGTTAAATTTGTATTTACAAATTGCTATTGTTTTTCTCTTTTGCTACTTTCTCCCTATTTTAAATGGGGAGGAATGTAAGAATGATAGCTAATGTTAATTTATTCAAATTGTAAAGTGTTATGGTTTGTGATATGTCAGAAAGCTTGACCCCCAACGTTCCCTGTTCTTGACCCTGAAATGCATGTCATCTAAATTGCTGAGGGAGACGGAATTGCAATCCTCATAAAACCGGCGCGCGGACAAGCTGACATCATGCCAAAACCTCTCAACACGATGATGGTGCTGTCTGTTCCTCAGCTGCATCTATTGTCTTACAGTGTGTGTTTTTGAACGAAACTTCCTCACTGGCTTTGCTGGTGTCGACGGTTTTGTCGGCCTCAGAGGGAGTGATGTCAGCACTGAAGCCCGCTGAGCTGTGAAACCCACCCACTCAAGCTTTTTTAGACCCCTCTGGCTAATAGATGTTGTGGTTTGAAAGTCCAGGTGATGCTATGTGACTCAGCTTGTTAGAGATATGTATCCTGGTGCTGTGTGGTGAGGAATGATGATCTATAGTTCAGTCAAAGCAACATGAAGCAGCAGTGTTTAATGGCATTCAGAAATATTCTCTTTCTCCCCTTTGTCTCTCCACATCTCCTGTGCTCATGAGTTAATAGGCTGAGTTGCTGAATGGTCATTCTCTGAATCCCTGAAGTGGCCCTTTTGGTGGTTGAGATTGTTCCTGTAATAAGCCTTAAAGATCTCTCTCATTCAGACAGTTTTAAAAACAGGCCCAGACTAGAACTGCAACTAGCCACCATTTTGATAATCGATTAATTTGGTGATTATTTCTTCAGTTAATCTGATATTTCGCATCTTGCACAGAACTCCTCCTTAAAGCAATGCATGAGTTGATTTATGTACAATGAATGTTATTGTGTGCCAAAATATTTTGTTATATATGTGATTGAGAAGTGTTTGAATAACCCAAAACACGTTAAAGTGTTAACTTGTAAGAAGAATGATCCAGTTGATTCCTTTTCTCTTTTGCACTCTGCTTCATTGACATGTATTTGCACACCTGTATACAGTGGGTATAGTGAGAAGTGTTTGAATAACCCAAAACACGTTAAAGTGTTAACTTGTAAGAAGAACGATCCAGTTGATTCCTTTTCTCTTTTGCACTCTGCTTCATTGACATGTATTTGCACACCTGTATACAGTGGGTATAGAAAAGAATCCCCCCCTTTACAATAATCACATTTTGTTGCTTTGCAGCCTGAAATGAAGACAGACAGAGTTTTTGTTTTATCCAGCTGAATTTACTCAGTGCAACTTATAACATCCAAGTGAAAGATATAACACCAAATAGTCAGGGAAAAAAACATTTAAAAACAGATTGACATTTGTGGACTGCAGTCTTCAAGTCATTCCACAGATTTTCAGTGGGGTTTAAGTCTGGGCTCTGACTAGGCCTTGCAAGGACATTAACCTTTTTTCTCCTACCACTGTGTAGTCAGTTTTGCTGTGTGCTTTGGGTCATTAGGGCCTTTCGCACCGCTTTAGTTCCAGAACTAAATGTACAGTACTAAAGTACTGGGACGATTTTGCGCAAACTATTTCCCAGTACCATTTAAAGGGTTGCATTCGCACCGACAGTGTGTACTAAGAAGTGACGTAAGCCGGTCGACAGCGACATCATTTGTGCGCGGCGTTCAACAACAGAAACAAAGAAGAACAACATTAACAACAGGAGGATGGAGGACGCTGTGATTGGAGCTGTTTTTGTTGTGTCTCTCGGGTTTCACAATAATGGACATGGAAAGTCGACGTATACGTAAAGCGATTGAAAGAACGGAAAGGAGGACTAAGAATCTCCAACGACAACTGGCAGTGCTACATTTGCTACAAGTGCCTGCACTTCAGCGTCCGTCCATCTATCGCTGTTCTCCACACTTGCGAAATAAGTTGACACAATGTTTACACAGCGTTTTAAATCATGGTGGGTGAGGGTGTTTTCGTATGCGTTTGGGCAATCAATGTCTACTTGCGTCACGATTAGTACCAGTTGTGCTGGTTAGACCCTGCTCTGGAGTAGGAGCTAATTTGGTTCTCGAAAAAGGCAGTCCGGTACTAAAATCGCTCCCAGTTCCGGCGGTGCGAA